ATAATTAACCATAAAACATTTTTAATGCTTTGAATATTCCAATTGAGAGTATTACTGCTGCCACCGTCTGTATTAGAGGAAAAAAATGGTAGGGTGGCAACAGGGGTGGCCAATGATTGGCTAAGCGTGGCCATGGCCAACCCTGGCCCCCAATCTAGCTCCGACCCTGATTAGCTCTAGGATCGCCCCTGCCCCGATAGCAGGCGCTGTAACGCCTGAAGCCAGCCGGATTTATTTTGAAGGGAATCCCTTTTCCGGTTTCACCGTGTTTAAACTCCGTGGGTTTGACAGCGATGGCGCGTCATAGGGGATGGTTAAGCAGAGCAGGGAGATCCTCATTCATTCTGTGTTTACGCACAGCGGCGGGTATCCCAGGGAGGAAAATAAAGGAGGACACCATGGAAACACAAGACATGTAGAAAAAAAAAGAAATCCAGACCGGATGTTAATTAGAAACACAATGAAAACTGTGTTAGACTAGTTATTTGGGATCTTTTACACTTTTGCTTGCATCTATCTGGGTCCGTCCTTCATTTTCCCCCCCATCACCGGTCCATCCACCGGGTGCTTCTTTTTACTTGGAGCCTCACTATGAGGAGGATGGACACCCGGGTGTTGGTTTGGCTCTGCGCCGTCGCTGCGCTGTCGGAGAACCGGAGTCCTGCGGCTACAGCGGGGAGAAGCTGCGCTGACAGCCGGCAGGTGTACTCAGAGAAGGGCTACAGCACCAGCACCGCTCCTGTCACTCAGATCTCCGGTAAGTCCCACTAGTATAAGGATGCATCTAGTTTGCCTTTGAATAAATACAACTTTTAGATTCCATATATATAGAAAGAGAGAGAGAGAGAGAGATCCATATATATAGAAAGAGAGAGAGAGAGAGATCCCTAAACCTAATAAATCAACCCAAGTTGTAAGGAAGTATGACAATATTTTGGTTCTAAACTCACAGAGATAAAGAGCATCAGAGGATCATGATGAGTTTCCCTCAAGAGATAAAGCAACGCTGTTTAAAACAACTTCTACCCGCCCCCTCCTCCCTAATGCTGGTTTGAATGGGATGATTAAGGGGATGAGCAAATTGCCAACACCGGTGCAACAAAGAACCTCGCCCCTAATTAGTCTTTGCTCTGGCCCACTGCATGCAGGCTCTGTTCATTGCTCATAATCCACATGGAGTGATATATGTCTGATGTGGATCACAGGAAATCAGCTATGGATATTGCATTAAGTAGTTAAAGAGATACAAGGGGATTATTTTTAGATTTGAATAAAAACATGATGGGGGTCTCCATTTTAAATATATATGTATCTAAATCACTGCTTTGATTTACTCCCACGCAGACATTAAAGTGCTTCTATGATTAATTAAGGGTAAAAAAATGTTAGCTTGCAGGGTATTTATTTCATGGCAAATGAACTTGGTGTGTGAGGCAACTGCTGAATTGATTGATTTTTGTGTGCTGGGCTATCACCGCCTGAGCCTTTGCTGGCTGTCCCGTGGGCCAGGGGAGCAGATGGCTGGGAGAGAGAGAGGCAGTTTAGAAATGGAAATACAGGAATGAGAATGGGCTGATGGGAAGACACACAGAGAACAAAAGAGAGGGAGAGGAATGCCCTACAGGGAGGAGTTGGAAAAGACACTTTCCAATGCATTAACCACCAAATATTCGTATCAACCAAAGATTTAAAGCTTCCCCAGGCTTTGATCACTGTGCTTTGTCCTCGCCTCCTCCTGGTTTGTTCTTGCTTTCACACCTGAAGAAAGACAAGCAGGCCTCAGCTGACAAAGAGAGAAAATTGACTTTGAATAATTCATGCAGATAAATTGTAATTTCCTTCCCCGGTGTTATCTTTAATTAGATTCCCCTATTAAATGAACCTATACATTTATAGTAGAGTTTAGTTTCCCCCCCAAAAATGCCCTCCCAAAACCAGCCAGGTCATTATATATAATGCATTTCTACTTTAGTATAATGACCTGGCTGGTTGGAAAGTTAAAACACATAATTTTCTAATAGTGTGATAATGTTATGGTTTATCCTGATGTCTTTGGTACAGGTGAGCACCTACGACTTTGTCCTCAGGATTATACCTGCTGCTCTACTCAGATGGAGGAGACGCTGTCCCTGCAGAGCGAGAGGGACTTTCTGAAAGCCATCGAAGACAACAGCCAGTTCCTCTTGACCACCTTTACTCAGAGGCACCGTCGGTTTGATGGTGAGAAGATATTGTATAACATGATTTAATTTAATATATTAAAGTAAATGTTTCTTTTATAATAGGCTGAAGGAAAACTATTGTCCCAGTGATTTTTTTGGGACTTCTTTGGAAACAAATGGTCAGGAGCTATTCTTCTATTCAATTATTTAAAAAAATCTCTGTTACCAAATGCATTTAATACTCCAGGGATTGCATAAATACGCATTTCTTATCCTGTTAATTGTTCTATTAGAATTGTGCATAAAAGAAGAAATTATAATAATTGAATTTTATTGATCTTGCATCGAAGAAATTTACCTCCGCATTTAACCCAATCCAAACTTGCATTTCTTTCGTTTTTTTCATCATAACAACATTATATTACCAATCCCAAGGTTTTTTTGTTTAGTATCAGCGTAAACCAAGAAAAATTTAAATGGATATGATTGTTTTATTTCCATTTGAGTCATAACATCATAGACTACAATACCAGCAAAACAGTAATAGAGCAAACACTAGTGTGATGTATACTGACATTTAAAGTTGTATACATTGAGTTAGATTTAAAATTGAATAAGCATAGGGGCTGCATTTTTGGAGCTATTACACAATAAAGTATTTTGTCTTCTTAATATATCAAGTTATCAGCCAATTTTGGTCAGTAACTGGCAAATCAAACACCAATAGAAATCCAAGATCTTTCACTATATAGAATGATGTACTGTATAAATGAGGCTAAACTTCTTTTGTTTTCAGCTGGATCTAAAAGTACTAACCAAAGAACCAACTGCATTTTTTTTTTTTGCTTTTGCATATTTTGGTTATTAAAGTTAAAAAGAAAAAAAGAAAAGAAAAAGAAATTAGCAGGTTAGATATACGGTACATAAAAAGTGGGCATCTGCTATTTCACTTTGAAAAGGAAAGACCAGCTTGTTTGTCCAACATTTTCATGGGTAGGGCTACAGAGAAGCGTTAATCTTATCTGTTGTTGCAGTTCTTGTGTGGTTTGTCGTCCGAACCAGGAGTCAGTTGTGGCAGAAGGCCAATCATACCAGGCCCTATTCTACTGAAGTCTTTTTCCTCTTTAAAGAGGACTCCTCTTCACTGTTGCTACATGCTTGCATTGGATAAAGAATTATAAACAAAGCAATAGTTAGAACCAACATTTGACCTACCTTAAATTAATAACTGCACTGTGATGAACTAAATTTGACTGTGTTGTGTTTAAGTGTTGAAGCTGGGTTTGTCTAAATGACTTGGGTGTATTTGTTGAAATCTGATGTATTTGATCATATATTTATTTGTATCTTGGACGGGTTGTAAAGTCCTTTAAGAACGTATTTTAAAAAAAATTCCCTTTAATCGCTTTATATATATGGAGATCGGTCTAGATTGGAGCGGAGGGGAGTATGTGAAATTTGGAGTTTAATTCATCCCCACGTGGAGTACTTACATGTGATTGGTTTATACAAGGGAGCTTCATGATTGGTGGCAAACCATCCCCTGTTTAAGAAAATGCATTTGTGTATCGAGGCACGTCAAGGGAGTCTCAAAAATCCACACACAAATGCAAAGAAGTTTAAAGACCACTGATACTTTGTATTTAATTTATGATTGTTTATGGACCAGAAATACCTTTGTCCTTTGTGTGTGTGGATTTTTTTTTTTTGTGCTTTTGTGAATCATGCTGTGCATGTGGGGATCTTGTCCTGTGCATGTATGAATCACATATGTGTATTTGTGAATATTGAGAAAAAATTTAGCCCAATATATAAACAATAAAGGTTATCTAGAAAACCCACTTTCATGAAAAACTAACTGGATTATAAAATTAATTTAAAGAACAAACAGATCCCTATTAAATCACTACATGTGAGCTATATACCTATCAGGACTCTAATCAGCACAGTTTGGGTTCTGACCATCTCTTATTACATCTAATAAAAATCCTTTTTTTCCACCCCCATTGCAGTTTTTCTCTTGTAAATGGAAAATTCTTTTTAGTGAACCGCAATGACCTCACCAGGACATGTGTTAACCAGCCAGCTTCCTTCTGAGAACTCCCAACCACATCCTACAAACCGACCCTCATGAGTGAAATTTGTTAATTATCCCCTTTAGACATCTGGAAACGGCTCTAATGAGTTCCTACATTAAGGAGAATGTAGCCATGGATTCATATTTCAATGCGGCAGGTTTCTGCTCACCAGCTGAATTTACACTTCTCCTCCTACCTGCCATCGACTGCTATCACCTTTTTTTTTTTTTTTAAACCTTCATACTTTTATATAATGTCTGATGAGTCATATCAAGAAGCTCAAGAAGTGGGAGACTGGATATGAGTCTTGAAGGCAGGTTTTTAATAGAGTACGCTCTGTTATTTACTGCAGTGCAGGATCTGATGTCCCTGTAAGCTGATAATCCTGTGGCAGAGAGAGGGTGTGATGGACCGCCTACACAGAAACATAACTATAATGTAGTATAATAAAAGGGAAATGAGAGTTTCATCATATTTAATCCTCCTGTGTCTGTGCAGAGTTCTTCAGAGAGCTTATAGACCTTTCTGAGAAGTCTATGAACCAGATGTTTACCAAGACCTATGGCCGGCTCTTCACCCAGAACACACACATCTTCCAGGAGCTGTTCCTGGAGCTTCGGAGATATTATTCCGGTTGGTTTGATCACTTCTCTATCCTCCTCACCCTCAGTCTGATATATTCACAACATCCTGGGAAATTATCTTAAAAACACAAAACAAACAGAGATGCTAAAGATAGCAGGAGCAATATTCAGAGAAATAATTCTGATGCTTTATTAAATCTTCAGACTCAGTAAGCAGCAGTAAAGAACCAGGTTTTTCAAATATTTTTGAGGAGTGCTGGTATGCCAAGTGGAATGGGGAGGAAAAGAAAGGGAGGAAAATTGGATTCCCACAGATGCCAGACTGTTTCTAATTCTGGGCCGTATCGCTCTGTTTTGGCACGACAGCCGTTAGCTGGCGAGTCCGTCTGCAGGCTGTCGCTTGCTTAGTCAACTTGTCTGTGTTTGCCAAGCAGCGTGTTTGGCTCATTTGAGGCTCCCGACTGCAGATTGTACAGCCGCAGACTCATTCTGTGAGGAGACCAACGAGTGTCCCAAGCAGACCGCATGTCATGCCATATTATAGTCTGTATACAAAAACGGCAAATATTTACAATGATTTAATATTTCTCATATAATGAGCTCTGTCTAAATTATATTTTGCATGGTTTTGCACAAGAACAACACTTTGTTCAGTCTTTTTAAATGCATTAGAATTAATTCAGTTTGTCATTAACGTCTTAATTCAGTCACTATTTGCTGGAAGTGGATTAATGCGACTCCTCAACAAAGTTATATAACTTATTCTCAAAGTTGTTTAATGTGTAGTTCATCAGAAAAGAGAATAGATAACTACAAAGGTATAACCTTTTAATAGACAGACTGGAGAAGAAAATCAAAAATACGAATAAGAAAAGCCAAACATTTAATAAAATATTCCCTAGTTTGTGAATTTTTAATCTGATATTTTCCATTATTTATTTGTTTTTGTTACCCTTTGTATCCTCAGGGGGTAGCGTGAGTCTGACAGAGGTCTTCTCAGACTTTTGGTCCGGAGTGGTGGAGCGAGTCTTCTCACTGGTCAACCCCCAGTATCAGTTCGGTGACGATTACCTGGAATGTGTCAGCAAACACGCTGAGCAGCTGCAGCCCTTTGGAGACGTGCCTCGCAAACTTCGAGTGCAGGTGTGTGTACAAAGTAACCATAAAGCCCAAAATAATAGAACTGTAAAATAAAAAAAAAGTAAATATTGGGCACTTATTTGTTTGATTTGATGATATTTTGTTTGCTTTCAGGTGTCCAGAGCTTTCATAGCTGCCAGAACTTTATCTCAGGGCCTGGCTTTTGGACGGGATTTTGTGAATACTGCCACAAAGGTCAGTGGTTCCGTTTTTAATCCCAGATTATTTTCCCCCGGTAAATGCGGTGGCAGTTTATTATGTAATCTCAATCTTAGCATCGAGAAAAACATGTATTTCTAACTATACCTCCTTCTGAAAGGGCTCCGTCCTTCAGTGTTACAAATAAAGAGATTGGCTTTCTAAAGAAAAAAAACTATTTAGTCTTTTTTTTATTTGTATTTAAAATTCTAGAAGAATTTATCATTATTCCTTGTCAATGAAAAAGGAAAGTAAGCACTACAGTTATAAAGGGGTATAAAACTCTAAGAACAATGACGTTTTAGTCACTCATTATGATTATGATGGTTAACAAGAAACCACTGATCTAGACAAACAATAATTTGTAAAATATAGAGGAAATCCAATATGTAATACAGAAAACAATCTAGTGATAAAATCAGAATTAAAGGTAAATAACTGCAGAAAACAAACTTACATCACTAGCTGTTGCTGTCTGACTGAAAACTGATTTATATTAAAGTTTGTTTCTGAGGCGAGTCTCCCTTTGGAGGCGTCAATCAGCTCATTGTGTTTAGTTTGCTCTGTTGATCCAGTTTGTTTTGTCGGTCTTTGCCCTGCTCCGTGTTCCAGTTGACAGCAGATTCAGAGTGTGTGCGGGGCCTCATGCGTCAGTGGTACTGCCCCCTGTGCAGAGGCTTGCCGTTTCTGCGGCCTTGCCACTCGCTGTGCCTCAACGTGATGAAGGGCTGCTTGGCCAATCAGGCTGAGCTGGAGGCAGAGTGGAACAATTTCATAGGTGGGTAAACGCCGTACATGTGTTTTTTTTCCCAAATGTATATTTGAAGAGGATTTCAAGGATCCAGGGTTATTCTACACTTTTCTCTGTAAGCATTAAAATTAGTTTTGAGGGTATTTTGTTCTATATTCTTCTCTGCTAATCACCTCCAGCGCATTTGGGTTGAATGCACATGCACATTAGTCTCCCAGTGGAAAATAATTCCCACAACACGGTGGTCTCACCACCATGCTACACAGTAGCAATGCTATTAGCTATATTTTGTGCATAGCTTTTTTTCCTAAAAGACATGTAGGTTGGAATTAAGATAGACTATTTGTTTTAGTTTAGTCAGAGCACATAACTCTGTTCTGCTGCTGTTAGAACATTTTAACAGGCTGCTCTCTTGCTTGGATCTGATTGGTGGAAGGCACCGACCTCTTGGATGGTTCTTTTATCACCACAAGGATCATTCAGAGCTTCCTCTTAGTGAATGCTTAGTTGAGGTCACCTCTCTTATTAAGGTCCTTCTCCTTAGAATAGCCTCAGTTTTGCGAATCGAACATTTCTAGGGAAGGTCTTAGTGAGTCCAGAATGTGTTGCATCCCCAATAGAGACCACAACGTTTTTTGGGATGATAAACACTGGCATGTGGTTTTCTGTATCCAGATTTGGGTTTCCATTCTGGTGTAAAAGGCCAACCGTGACATCTACTATTGATTAGTTCACCACAGTCATGTTCAGTCAAATAACCCGACTACAGATGGAGATTGGAGAAACCACAGTCCAAGTTTTGATATTATACTAAATGGTGTGAATATTCATGTAAACTGTCATAAAACGGGACAGATGGACCCAGTATTCAATGTGAGACAGTCAGTAGGAAAGTTCAAAACATTTATTAGTATAAAAACGTACAACTAACTGACACTAAAGTGGAGCTGCGACTCTCGGCTGCTGCAGGAGGGGGGGCGGGGCACCACCCAATCTCAGACACTCTGGTGGGAGAAACACAGGTAAGTGACCACGATCATCTGACAGAAGATGATCTCAGTGAGTCACTTACCTGGTTCAACAGTTCAGTCTATCTCCCTGGAAAGGGGCGAAACTCAGCCGCTGGACTGAAGGCAGATGCGGCATGCGTCACTGAGTGTCCCCGGTGCAGCAGTCCCAGAGAACTTACAGGAAGCTGATCCTGGACAGGGATTCAGAACAGACAGAACAGGCAGGATCCAGACATTCTAGAGTTCCCAGGCAGGTTCGGAGTCCAGAAGCGTGACCAGGTGGACACGCACACGTGCAGAAAGGATCAGGTGCAGACAAGCATGCTCAGTGGAAGAGGGTAGCCGAGACAGGACGTGGAACCAGAACTTGATGCAGGACCTATAAACTGGTCTCCACCTTGGAGCCAGGCTTACTGGGATAAAAACTGAACCTCCCCGCGTATAGAGCCAAAAACCCAGAGGACTCAGCAGGGGAGGAACAGTGGACAATCAGGAGAAGAGAGGGACACAAAAACCCTCTTTCCACTGGCTGCCAGGATCCAGGACATGAACCTTAGAATAAATAGAACTCAGAAGACTGAACAGAAAACAACATCTAATGATCTGGCCATGATAGCTGGAACTGAGCCCAATATAAGGGAAACTGGCAGGTGGATGGGATGAGTGATGGTTAGGAGCTGGAAAGAGTGAAGCAGGTTAAAGGCATGAGTAATTAAGGCCAGCTACAGCAGATCATGACAAAACATGTTTATTTTATCCATCTCCATCCACCCATCTTCTCCCGCCTAATCTGTCAGGTTGCATTGAAGCTGCTGCCTATCTCCAGGAGTCTGTGGCCGAAAGGCAGGGTACACTTTTACTTTTTATAAATTTGCAAAACATTTTTTTTCACTTCAACATTTTCAAAATACAAACTACACTTTAATTAGTCAAAGTAAGGATATGAGATGGTAAAGAGCCAGAGGGCGGGTACCCCAGAGTGATTATAATAGAACATATGTCAGCTGTATCTTATTAAAAAATGGCATCCAAAGCCTACAACTTCATTTGATATAAATTTTTAAGTGTGCATTTTTTTTTAAAACTTTTTTTTAGCAGAAGATATCATTTCATTACCATTTAGAAGTTGATTTTAAACCTCTTTTTAAATGAATTTCAGTGTGCTGGGATTGATGGCTGATTGCAGTCGATGTCTAGTATCTTCTCGATTAGAACACGCATCTTCAGAGGTTTAGCTCTCCAATAATAACTCTGCTCTGCTTACAAAGTTTTTCAATTACTATACCACTGCAAATGCTGGCAAATTTACTTGGACGTGATGAATTCATGTGAGCATTTAGGCCTCGTCCGGCTGTTCGCTGAACTCTGACCTCAGCTGTATTTTAGGTTTCTAGGTGAGGCAGATTATGGATTTCAGCTTAAGCTTTCACAACTTAGTGTCCCTACAATGGAAACTGTCAGCAGTCAAATTACTTCCAGCAGCTTTCCGATTCATTAACATAATTATAGTGGACAGACCAAAAGCTAGAAATCTTTTATTTTGCCCTTGACGCTCATTTATTTCCCCTTTCTCTTCACCCTAATAAATTCCTCCATTAATCATTCATGCCTCTCTGCTCAGCTGATCTGTCCTGCTGCGTTTCCCTTTCACTTTCATCATAGCTATATATGAGCCCTCATCCTTGATTCGTATTAAAAACCACTCCAATTTATTTTAGGTATTCCATATCATTGCTCTCAACCTTGTTGTTTTTCATTCTCCTCTTTATATGATTGCAGTTTGACCAAAAAACCTCCTAAAGCTATATGATTAAACTGGAACACCCCACTGTTGAGTCATTGGGAACGTCCCTCTCTCTCTCTTCCAGATGCTCTCTATCTGGTCTCTGAGAAGCTGGAGGGGCCGTTTAACTTTGAGCTCGCAGCTGATTCTATTTCTGTAAAAGTGTCAGAGGCCATCATGCACATGCAGGAGAACAGTGTGAGCATCTCCAGCAAGGTAAGGAGAAACAGACCTGACAGATGATTGCATGAATAGATGCATTAACATAGAACTGTGGTGAGCAAGTGTTACGCCTTCCTTACCCACCAACAAATTAATTATAATGAATATAAAGTAAGCAACAAATTGAAATTTACCAGTACATTTTTATTTGTAAACTGCTTTCTATATCTAAAGAGATGTGCAAGTACAGTACTGGCCTGGCAAACACTGGTTTAAATGACATCTAACATTCTCCTTTGAGAATTTTATATTATCATGAGTACCACTCCCAGTCAAAAGTATTGATGGTTGTCCAAAGGTGGAATGTACAATAACTGAAATAAATACAATTTTACTTAATCTTTTAATTTGAGCATTTAATTTTTACAATTTTATTTTTTCCATCTAAAAAAAAGAACAAAACACATAAATATGTTGCCTGGAATTCAGTAAGGAATCTAAATAAATGCAAAATAAAATGATATTATAAACCTGTACTGTGCTCCTCTGAGTAACTTTCTTATAATCACATTTAAACTTGATGAATTTGGAAAAAATACACTGACTTAATTAGTTGTACTTTGTTTTCATCAAGACACCTCAGCTGCTTTGATATGCTCCGATAGCTCAGTTTGAAAAACAGCAGATACCAGGATGTTCTCTACATCCAGTCTGTTCCTCTGCTTGGTTTAGATGTGTGTCAAAGCTGCAGGGGAACTCAAAGAATAACTTACTTTTTGGTTGATAAAAGCTTGTTTAATTTTCTATTCAATGCAAAACAGATTCCAACCCTATTTTATTTTAATACTTGTAAAATATTTTCATGTACCCCTTGGAATGCGTCCGCGTATCCCTGTTTGGGAAACATTGATTTTGACGTTGGTTTTTAGGCTAAATCTGGTCGGTCCGTCATAAGCTTATTTAGTCGAGAAATAGTTGTTGAAATTAGGGCTGTGTTTGCTTGTTCTGATTTTGTCCCACTTTAGTCCAATAAAGTTTTCAACAACTTTTCAATGATCTGAAAATAGCAGCTTTTCACCTTTTACTTTTCAACCTAATGTAGACGTCGTTTGGATGTAAATCATGTCATCTTTTCAATGTCTTTCAATAAATTTTTGCTCAGTGGGAAATGTCCAGGTGAAATCTCCAGCTGTCTCTGCTTTGGGCAGCAATCTTGTTCTTTGTTTGTTTGTTTTTAGAAAGAAAAAAAAAACTTGGAGCATTGACAATAGGGCTAAATACTTCTCACCCACTGAGCAAAGACTGGTCGAAAAGACAACATGACTGACGTCCAAACGATGTGTACATTTGTTTCAAAAGTGAAAAGCGGTAATTTCCAGATCAGCTCTATTATTGGACTAAAGTGGGGCTAAATCAGACCGACCAAACACAGCCCAAGTTTCTACAACTATTTTTGGACTAAATAAAGACTATGAAGGACCGACAAGATTTAGCCTAAAACCCAACATCTAAATGTCGTCTGGTGTTTTGGGGAAGAGTTTCTGTGTCCTCAAAACTTATTGGGTTTGGATCCCAAATGAAGTTTAATGCAATGATTATTGCTCTCTGCTAATTTCAAAATGGAGTCTATGATCAAACCGTTTGAACAGAAAAATACAGCCTCAGCCTCATTTCTGCTTCAGATTCTGCAGAAGGCAACAATATTTTAAGATATGTCAAAATGCTCACCTTCCTTACATAAATTATGTCACCTAATAATTTTGCTAGGTTTAAAGTAACAGCTGTTGTTATGCATATTAATATAAAATCATGTTCGCTTAAATGCCAAGACATGACTAAGAAACTTCAGGGTCTTGGTTATTTTCAAAAAAGATCAAAGTTTTTTTCCCTCTTATTTGTTGTATGTGGGTGAACTTCAAGGACTGATGTTGCATTTTGATTAAATGATACTTTGGGAAAGTCAGAGCCCACACAGTTTTTCAAATTTTCAAGCAGTAAAGAGCTTCAGCTCAGCAGGAGTTGGGTTTCCCTCTCTGTTGGTGTGTAATGTAAATGAATGTTAGTAAAAAGATTGAGTTAAGGGACTGTGTTAGCCTGAGCAACCAAGCAATGCATTGTAAAGGCCTAAATATAGGAATTGTATGACATGGCCTTGCAGAAGAAGGAAATAAAAAAAATCTCATTGTATGTGCATGTCTTCTGATCATTTCCTTATTTCTTTAAGGTGTTCCAAGGTTGTGGAAATCCCCGACCAGCTCCAGCACGGAACAAGCGTTCACCCAATGAGTCAGGGGGCAACAGGAAGCCCTTCCGCACCTACACCCCCGAGGAGAAACCCACCACAGCTGCAGGCACCAACTTGGACCGGCTGGTGGGTGGGAAAAAAAGGAATGAAGCAGAGACTAAACTATTGCTATATTCAAGCTGCAGATCTAACCAATATACACAATATTAAGCCAATATGCTCAGAATGCAAAAAACCTGTTGGGTTGGAGCAAAAACCTGTTGTTGTTTATTTTTATTTAGCATTATTTAGTCACACTTATGTTTGGTTATGAAACAAGGAAATCAGAAACAGCAGCTTCACTTTATGCAACTTGAACTTTTTCATATTCTTTAACATTAAAACCACAAATTTGACAGGATTTAATGGCCGTCACCAAAACACAAAAATGGCACTTAGTATTAGTGTACACAAACAAAAGAAAAATTTAGTTTGCAATATTTTCTACATATAAACATAGCATTGCTGTGTTCATATTTTTAGGCCTTTTAAGTCTAATATATCCCAATTAAACCCTTGTATCAAATCAGTTTGACTGACGAGGTATAAGTCAGTCTGGTAAGGCTCAATACTCTCTGGTGTAAAACAGGCTGGACCAATCACAGCAAAGGAGGCGGGCTCATAATGCAACTGCGCTTATCTGTAGCCATAATAGTCAAAATTGCAGCCACAATGGAACAATGTCTCACCTATGCCCTTTATTACGTCCTTAAAGAGCCGTTTATGTCATTGAAATTTCATCAACTGGTTAGTGGAAGAACTTTTTATTTTTAAAGATGCTTCTGCATCACATCTGTAGTGGTCCGATTGGTTCCAAACTGTTGAAAGCATTTGGCAAGATGTGAAATGCCTTCACTTGTCACCTAGTTAGATATTAGTCCACCTGTGTGTAATTTAATCTCAGTATAGCTTCACGCCTTAATCGTCTCTTTGAAAATTTAGTGAGCAAATAGATTGATAGAAAAATGATTAATCCTTATTATACACAAATGTGTTTTTTTTTTTTTTCATAAACCCCCCATGAAGTGGATTATAGTTCATGGTTATAAGGGCACATATAGTAAAAAAGTTCAATGTAAATGTAATGTACTGCACATTTGATTCATAAGTAAAACTACAATAATCAATGCTTTATCTAGAAAAAAAAGTATATTATATTAGTAATACATACAAACAAAAATAATACATTTTAAAAGAGGGAAAAATAAGATAGATGTGTTTGGAAACATACTGATCCTCAGAACAGAAGGGCTTAAACAAAAAGATGTACAAGAGGAGGACCAGGACTGAAGTGTTAGTATATTGAATAGAGCTCCAAGAACGCCTGTGTGGTGTAATCAGAAACAGTGTCAGGTCTGCTTTTCACATTGCCCACCATCAGTACCTAACATGGTTTGTCCAGCCAGCTGAACAAAGAATGATGCTTCAAAAACGAGTCTGAATCATTCCCAGTTTCCTCCCACCTCCACAAAGGTTACTGAGCTGAAGGAGCGACTGAGGCCCATGCGAGGCTTCTGGGTGTCCCTCCCACACACCATCTGCAACGATGAGAGGATGGCGGCCGACGTCACTAATGAGGACCGCTGCTGGAACGGGCAGACCCGGGGGAGGTGAGCCAGATCAGAGGAAAGCGACTGGAGGTGATGAAGGTGGGGTGGTCAGGGAGGCTTTCAGAAATAGGCAAAGGAGAGGAGAGAAGAGCGAGGGAATATCGGCGCAGAGGTGGAGAGGTGCAACAGATGGAAGAGAATGTATTTTATTTAGCCTGCACCAGTCACCCACATGCTCTCTGCAGGCAGCCTGGTTTTATGCCCACAGATTCAGCCTAGGTAGCAGGTTTGACTTTTATAAGACATTTAGTTCAGTTTCTGAGAAGAAGAAAGAAGAAAATACCTTCTGTATTCATACAGCTTCATTTAGCAACAAAGAGAGTAAGAATACATCAAAATTAGCCCCTTTAATCAGAACCTGGACAAGCAGCCAGATCTCCTGGTGTTGCTTTTTATTCAAGCATGAGAAAACCTAGCTTTTATATTTACTTATTTATGTTCTTACTTCTGTTTATGCTTCTTTGTTCAGCCAAATGTTTCAGATGACCCTAAAAATTTACATGCCAAACAACAGCTCCATTTATGCTACCTTTTTGAAACCGTGCCGAGATCGGGCCGAGCACGGTATCATAACCAAACCAAATCACATTTATAACCAAACTACCTGAATGTTACGGGCGCCGCCATGTTGATTTGCTTGTTGTCCTCTAGAGAGCAGTAGTACCGTAGATCGTCACCTAGAGGCGAGGAACCGTGATAGCGTGATGTGTAAGGGGTCGCAAGGAACCGAGCTCAGCAAGGTTAACTGATCCAAGCTCAGTCCGAACTTGTCAGAGCAGTGGTCTCAGTTCTCTCTCTCTTTTTTTTTTTTTTTTTAGTTCACATGTCGTCAATCTTATTAGTTTTTTGCAAATGTTTGCATTTTTCGAACATCCCGGTCTGTCAGCTGCCTGTTTGTTGGTATTTGATTAGATTTTTCTAAACAGCTGTTAGACTACTGCATATATCTGCCCTGAGCTTTAATGAAGATCCAAGAAATGTTGTTTTCAGTAAACAATACTCCAGTATCCCCTTTTCTACAGATCTGAATATTATTAGAAAGTATTTTCATCTCAGGCTGCCGGAGATGGATTTTTTCAAATATGTGCAACACATGAGCATAGTGTAAATGGCCTGATCCTGATGTAAGTGTATTTCATGCCACCCTGTATGAGCACTGACGAAGATTCACTCACCTCAGCATACCAAATGCTGGATGATGTGGCTGGGAAGTGGGACTTATTTTTCCAATTAAGTTAGTTATTTATTTGTCTGCTTTGCAGAACATATAGATTAATTATTGAGCATTAAACTGGTCTGAGTCTCTCTCCAAACATGAGCTTTATTGGGATCCAAACAATACAAAAATGCACCTAACATTTCACTAAACTGATATTTTAAGTTGCTTAATGATGTGGCATACAGATGGCTCAGTGGTTTTCTTCCATCAACACCGTTCTTTGCTTAAAAGAATAAAATTAAACCACATAACAGTCCCTTTTTTATCACCAGTGGTAGTCTAAACTGGAACTGCTTTGATGGAAAAGTCTCCAAGAGTGGAGTTTAGTGCATTTAGTTTTAATAGCTGACAAAAGGCAAGGCGGCGGTGCTACCCACTGGGTCACTGAGCAGCGGCGTCACAGTTATCAAACTTTTAAATTTTTTTTTTATTTCTAAAGGCGGTCCTTCAGCTGACTAAAGAGCTTTGAGATGTCTATGATTCTTTGTGTCCAGGTACCTCCCGGATGTTACCGGCGACGGGCTCACTAGCCAAATAAACAACCCAGAGGTGGAAGTGGACATTTCCCGTCCAGATGTGAAGACCAAACAGCTGATCATGGATCTGAGGGTCATGACCAACAAACTGAAGCATGCTGAACGCGGACAGGACATGAACTTCATAGACAGTGGGTTCAGTTATAAACTACCTTGCAGCATTCAGCATATTAATCACACTGCAGCTCAAACATTGAGTGCACTACATTGGAAGTTTGTGTATCAGATCAACAGGTTTGAACATCTAGAAACCATATAGATCTGTGCCTTTCAATTTAGTAATATGCTGCTGGAAGGCAGTATTTAATGATTTTACAGCTTCGATACGTCTGTATTTAGTTCCATCCATCTTCTCATTAACAGCGCTGCCATGTCAATTTTTTTTTCTTTTTTAGAATAATGCTGTTTTTCCAGGATAATGTGCTGCTCTAGTTTTTTTTAAACATGCTGCTTTTTGTGCATTGAACAGAAAGTTCAGTCCTTTCTACTTTCACATTTGATGTGACCTTGAATTTTCCTCAGTAAAATTAATAGAACCAGAGGCTTTCTTCTCACTTTATAAAAATCCAAACTTGCAGAGCTCATAATCGTTTTCTTGCATCACATTCTTTATTTTTAAACAAAATTAAAAGCATGTTTCCTTTTCCTTGCGCTTCCAAGTTGTGCACATTTTTAATCTGTCATCTAAAATCTAAAGTAATAATTTCATGATTCAGGTTGTAACATCAAATAGTATTTATATTGGTTACTTAATGCAAGGGGTACTGTTGTTAATAAAATAAAATCTGTATGTATTCTAGTACTTATCAATATCCAGAATTAATGAGAAATGGTCTGTTTTATTGATAAAAAAATTATTGCATGTTTTTATTTCCTTGTTTTAGGTGAGGATGGCAGTGGCTCAGGGGGTGGAGATCAGGGTGAGAGGTACAGTGATGATTGGCCGGGTTATGGCCCATACTCTCCTCCATACAGCAAACCTCCACATAACCCCGTCTCCAACGCGGCCAAGCCTCCACGAGGCCGCGAGAAAAACGGGTCCAAGTGGAGCAAAAACAACGGCCACGGCCGCGTGCGATCCTCTGCCAAGCTGCACACCTCCGGCCTTCTTCCCCTGTTGTCCTCTCAGTTTGTGATCTATGTCGCCCTCTTGTGGAGATAGCTGGCTGTTACAATCTGGTGGTTTTATAGAGAGGTGTTTGCTATGCTGCCGTTTTAAGCACATTCTGAAGAATTACTAAAGCCATTCCATTTGGGTACACCAGCAAAAAAAAAAAAAAAAACAACAACAAACAAAATCAGTTTAAATTAGCAATAATTTAACAGCACAACATAAAGAAAAAAGGAAATATTTCCCCCAATCAACAAAGGTAAACTTTCCCCAATTTTGAAGCAAAGAGAAAAAAGTTAAACTATGTTTCAAGTGCCATTTGTGAGATTTTGACCTGTTGGAGTTTGATGCTGATTTGTTTGTTTTTTACTGAAAGTCGAAATATTTTTTATTGTTTCAATGTCAAGTGAATTAGCACCTTTTTTTTGCGTGTTTGAGACAGTGGATAGTCTCGTCTGTGATGTAGAGCTTAGGGATGTCATTAATTAACTGTGTTTTGGCAAAAAGATGAGTCAAACTAAGGACCTCTATCTGCTGCTTTTCTTCCTTAGTTTGACATTGAGCTTACTAATTTTTTGGTGTGTCTGACAGATGGCTTTAATGAACTTGTTCAACTAGATAGTACAAATAAACACAAACACATCACCTTGAAAACCAAACAATGGACTGAGTTTGAATGTAAAGTGTTAAACCTGCTTTTTATTTAATTGTAAAATATTGTTTATATCTGAGTTTAAAAGCAATGTTTGTGTTTTTATTTTTTGTAAAACATGTTTGTCTAATTTTTGTGGGGGAAAAAAAAGAGAAAAGTCAACATGAATTGAGCTTTCATGGTCTTAGAATATAGTTACCATAATAATTTTGGTTTAATCTGACCCAAATGAAGGGGAGTGTTTTTGTGGGAGTTTTTCTGACTTTTCAAACTATCTACTGTTTTCAGGTTTTATCTCTAAGGGTCATTTTAATCCAACCCTTTTCTATTTTCTTCTTAAAGCAAATGATGATCACAATATAGAACCATCACTCTACTGTAACTTTCAGTTACCTAAATAAAAACTAAAAGCAGTGTGTTAAAGACATCAAGCCTAAATGACATTTAGAAATACAGACTTTGACACTATCAATAAAAACTCTTAACTTATTGAAACATATTTTTTTTTTATCTTGATGTATTGCTTTGGTATCAAAGGAAGCATTACATGTAATGGATGTAAATGTTAATTTGCTGAAGCTTTTCTTAGCAGGGGTCAGGTATTTCGTAAAAAATTTGGTTTATGAACAGTTTTACTAAATAATGAGTGGGATTTTAATTTGGTGGAAAGAAATTGTATGTTTTATTTTGAGGTAAAGCCAATCATTAGCCGTTAATTTAAGTAAACATTTGGTTGGACTTTTTGAGAGAGTATGGAGCGACTGAACATTTAAATGAATGTATAAATGCTGCAAATAGACACTTCTGTTACAGAACAGGAAAATCACATTTTTGTATCCTCTCCCAGCAAATTAGAAGTAAATGTCAGCTTGGAGTAAAGCCTTCCAGTTAAAGCAGCAGGCATTTCACCACAGGCTGTTCCATTAAACCTGTGGATAAATGCGTTTTAATGATGTGCTTTTGATGATAAGCAGCCAGGTAACTGAGCGGCAGCTTTCTTTGTATGTGTAAAACTTCAGGAAAGTCCTTCATTGTTTCTCAGATAACTTCTGCAACAATTCCTGTCAAGGTGAAAGTGCAACACAAATTTCATGTTGTGGTTTGTTTTGTTTTGTTATCAACCTGGTGATATTTTCAGCTTCAATAAAAACCTGAAGGAAAAAGTTTTCTGTTTTTTATTCCATAAAAATAGCTGAAGGAACAGCTGAGTTTTAATATTCTTGATACATCAAGAGTCAATACAATGCTTACGTTAAGGTTTTACATTTTTTTATTTGTGTTGCATACTAAAGGATGCAAAAGAAGAGCAGGAATCGGAAAACAATTATAACATTATCCATTATCATCTAACTTTTGAGACATTTACTTTAACCTTGGAGAGGAGCCAACTCTGCTTTCAGATCTTGAACATGCGACTGCTTTTTATGGGCAAGGCTGTGGATGCAGTCCCGCTACAAAAAAGAAGACAAAATGATCACAGTTCAGTTTTTATATTGGAGGAAAAAAATGAATATGCAAAAATATTGAAATTACATTTTTGCCCATTCTACAATAAGCTAATCATGCAGTATTTTAACAACACAAAAGTTCCTAGTTTTACAGAAAAATGTGTCTTTAAATCAAACAAATGTTGCCAATCAATCAATTTTCACAAGTTTTGGTGGCTTGTTGTTTTTGTCTGCGTCTAGAGTTTTATTTGGTACATTTTTAGGAACACAAACAGTGTATTTATGGTGGTGCTGATTTTTAAACTTAAAAAAAAAAATATGGGTGATTAAAAAAATAATAATAATATAATTGCCCTTTCCCATTAGCCCCTTGTGTAGACACGCCAACTTTGTTTTATTTTTCAATTATGTGCACAGGCCAGACAAAATCATTGATAAAGGAAAGGAAAGGCTGAGGGTCGGCACTTTGGTCACCCTTTATTAACATTTCAGCTAAATTGAAAACCTGCTTTTATCTATACTGACGAAAATCAAAAGTTCATTAAATACGTCTATATTTAAATAACTTTTCATAAAATTACAATATGCTGCCCAAAATTTAGTGAATAGCTGGTTTTATTATTATAATAACTGGTAGTTTTGCATAGTGGTTACTCTAAGTAAGTTTTAGCATAGGCATTTGAAAAAAAAAAAAGGCGTTGAAAGGCATTTTAGTAAATGAACAGTACTGAATTGGTGAAATTAACAATGAAACAATTAAAAGACGCAAAAAAGGTTTAAATAGATTTTCTAAAACTAGTGGTCACAAATTAGCTTCATTTCTTTATTTTTTTTTTATAAGCTCTTACCTTCCATAATAAGTAGCCAATAAAAACCAAACACAGCAGCAGGGACAGGATGGTCAGAAGGATGATCCACCAGGCAACTTTGGTCAAGATTTCAACTTTTCTCACAGGGAACACTGTCAGCTTTACCTGAAGATAACATTAAAATAATGTCACTAATGCTTTTGTAATTAGTTTTTTTATTGTAAAAAGTAATGTTGCACCGATGCCATTTTTTGGACCCGACACTGATACGTGAGCTGCATACTACTAGGATGTAAAATAATTGCCATCAAGCTGCTGCCCACCTTTGTGAAGCAGGAAAAAAAAGACTAATACAAAATGAATCGAGTAGAACTTTTTCTTTCTCTACCTGGAATGGGGGACAATAGTTGAATAAACTTTTGGGTCTCAAATGGTATCAGTGCCTAATTGTTTGTACTTGCCAATACTGATACCACCATTTTAGTCCTGGATCGGGGCCCTGCCCAATACTGGTATTGGTGCAACACTAGTAAAAAGTCATCTGATGGGAATTTATCTAAATTGCCTTGATGTGAAACACATGCTTACCTGAGTAAATGGTTTTTTTGGTTTCAGTCCAATATTCTCGAAGGAGCTACTTAGGCTTAGATACGCTTCCACAACAATACTGATGTAATTAAAGGAGCTGTAATCCTAAAGAAGGAGAGGTAAAACAAGACTAAGCAAACAGTACTGATGAACAAATTGAACCAATAACAAAAATAAAACAAGGCATTAATTTGAATTGTTCACACACTAAATCTCATATTTTTACCTGTGACCTATGGAATAGAATCTAATTCATAACTAAAAACTAAAACGGGTGGACATAGTGAAAAACCTCATTACCTGTTTTAAAAGCATAACTGGAAAGTGTTCATGCATATAGCTAAAAGGTTAGTTTAAAAACTTTTAAATTAGCAGATCCCCACCTAACAGAAAGCTTACAGTGTTGTTTTCATGCTTCTTAAAAATAACTTATACAAGCATATTTTGTTCTGTATAACATGGTTTGGTTAAAGTTGTTAAATAAAAGAACCTCAGCCATAGTTGCATTCCAAAGGCGAGAGTGAAGGACGATACGTGCAGTAGTGTCTAGACTTAGCAGGGGGCAGTGGATCTGAACACACCTCAGTCCATCTGAGCATGACTGAAACAAACAGAGGTGTTCCTTATTTTTTGGGAAAATAGCAGTGATTAATTTCATTATTATACTTAACAGCTGAAGAACAGATATCTTTTCTCACCAAAGTTTTATATTTTCTTCTTAATGGAAGAAATGAAAGCCCATCAGTTGACACAGCTTCAAGCTCTGCTTCACGTCTTTGCCTTGGTGGAGCATCCCAACCCTTATTAGCAAACATAAAAAGATTTTACATTCAGTATGTCCTTGGATTTAACTTAAAGTATGAAACATTATTTTATTTTTTACCTTTACTGGTTTGAGTGGATTGATCTCATCAGCACTGGTACAAGGGACAGCATGAACTCCCTCACTGCTTATGTGAACTAAGTACAGCAGCCATTTTCCCACCGAGTTCTCCTTTGGCCAATTAATGTTAAGGGATGCATTTGCAAAAGAATTTAGTGGCCTGCCTAGGTTTGTAATCTGCTAAAAACAGGGTGTAGTTAGAATATGAGTAGCAAAGCAGATCATTGAAATTGCATACAGATGTTAACACACCCTGAATTCATACTGAACTGATGGGCCAATTTCCTCTATAGACTTGATGCCACTTTCCCCCTTCACAATATCACTGAGTGAGACTTGGGATGGGCTTAGTTGCCTGATGTGGAAAAGATAACAGCCTGATTTTCTCCACGAATCAATTTATTTATATTTTTACTGTTTTTTATTAGAAAACACAAACGCAATAAACAGCTGCTTAGTGGACTCACCCATAAACTTGCAGCTCCAGCTCAAAAACCACTTTGGCCAACGCCTCGACCGGCGGTATCGTCTGTATGCTTGTTCTGTGCCATAGAAATGACAAAATTATTCTATTGTTTACCAAAGAACAGCATTGGGCTCTGAAGTCAACCCGTTAAACCAACATACGTTTTAAGTTGCAGGGTGACATTGACCATATTCGTATTCAGTGTGATACCAGATGTTGTTAGCATGATGTGAAAGGTAACCTGAATGGCAAACATGAGAGGAATAGAAAAATGTTTTTAGGAAATGTTGACGGCTATGAGGGGAACCAAGCAATACCTCTCACCTCAGCGTCTCTTTGGAGAGGATTTCCAAGATGGCAGTCTATCAGCGTTCCGTTGTCATTGGCTGTACAGCTGATGTCTTCCTAAACATGGAAACAATAGGTTATGACATAAATATATATGAACATGCTGAAAAAGTGTAAGATATTCCTGATACAGACATTCACCCGATTGCAAAAGTATTTACACCTCTTTGACATCTCATATTTTGTCACATTTGAAAGAAAAACCCTTAATTCTAGCATATTTAAACAGAGGTGTATTGCAGCAGGAAGAGCTAGGGTTTAAATGTAAACATGAATGGATTTAGCTTTTCCATGACATGCATAGGAGGGTTCGCTCTATGTTTACTCTTGCTTCCTCCTGTACTCCAAACATATTAAGTCAGCTGGTTATAATTGTCTTTTTGAATAAGAATGGTAAATGGCCTGTACTTATATAGCACTTCTTCAAGTCAGGAGACTTGACCAAAGCAACACTTTACACTACATTCAGTCATTCACCTATTCACGCACACACTAAGACACTGATGGTGGCTACATTGTAGCCACAGCTGCCCTGGGGCTCACTGACAAAAGCGAGGCTGCCATACACTGGCACCACCGGGCCCTCTGACCACCATCAATAGAAAATGCAGGTGAAGTGTCTTGCCCAAGGACAAACTACACTGGCTTGAATCAGTACATTACATTGAAGTTTGTGGTTTTAAAGTGACATAATGGAAAAAAGGTTTAGGGGTATGAATCAGAAGTCACAGTATTGTGTGTGATAAACAGTTTGTTTTAGAATTTCATCATTTTCTTGAAGAAAACCAACAGAGAAACCTTTTTATTCCCAGTGTTGTTAGTTTATACTCACCTCTCCTCTGCTGGACAAAACCGATGAGTAGCGCACCGTATCTGGGAGCATAATGACGGAGTGACACTGATGAGCATCATCCCCATCTCTGTTTGTCACAGTAATCTCCAAAGCAATTTCTTCACCCGAAGGAGTGATGACAGCGACACCATCATCTCTGGAAAGACAGTATAAGTTTAGTCTTCCTCACCTTCAGAAAGGTGAGCTTTTACGTTCTTTCTTCCACTCTGTTTCGTTAGTGGGGATATTTCTGATTACCCAACAAGTGATTGGAAAATATTTTGGTCATTTTGTGTCTTCTTTGAGCAGAACTTGTAGTTTAACTCTAGATTGCTCTGGCAGAGGTTGTCACTGCCACAACCCTGATTTATTAGAGTAATCTGTGAAAGAAAAGGAAAACAGCAAGCAGAAATTCCCACTTTATTTTAACCATCATTCTTCTAAAGGCTTTTTACTACTGTACAGCTGTATCCTTAAACTGCTTTACCTCAGCCACAGCAGTGCTTTGGCCGTAGATGTTTAGGACAGGATCCATATTGGACTGATCTGAACTCCCTGAGGTCGTTTCAGTAGATTTCCACAGAGACAAGGTCACAGAGACCAGGATGCTTCGCAGTTTGTCCTTAATGTCTCTCTAAAACAGAAAAGCTTTCTTATAGTTTTCTGTTGAGAGTTTTAGGCACAGCTCCTTAATGCAATCTAAAATTTACTGAAACAGAACCAGAAGATGGAGCTGTATGCGAGTACAGATTTGTTTTTGTTGTCTCGGCAGCTCCAGGTTTCTTTTGGCAGAACCTTTGAGGATAACTCTGGGTCTGGAACTCTTCTGACCATAGTCTGCTTTGAAAGTGTAGTTGAGCACTGTGAAATAACAATTAAATTATTTATTAGATGAGTCGGTATTACTCTTTTAATTCCAAATACAACTATAGCGATTAAAGAATATATTCTATTTTTACACAAAGTGAACAGCTATTTGGAGTCAAATAGCAACTTGTTTAAATCCAGAGTTGCAAACAAACAATCAATAGGGCCACTCACTCAGTTTTGGGTTAAAAGAGGCTGGATATGATGTGTAAGAAAAGCATGAATGACCTGAAAAAGAACTTTAAGTTTGTGCAAATATGTACAGGATTAAAAGTCAATCTGAGCACACCTGGATACATTAAATGCATTTGCTAAATTTACATCAATTTCTTACCATGTTCGTTTATTGCAGCCTTCCTTCATTGTGTCTATTTGACTTGGTGTTATGTTAAGATAGGGGATGAAACTGACCACCGGCTTAGCTCTGTGACGGAGGAAGATAATATTAGTAAACGACTGCCATCAACACGTATTTTCCTCTTTATAGGTTTCTTTTTAGCTTTTTGTCACAAACATTCAGATCATTGAAAACATTTTAGACAAAACAACCTTAAATTAAAACATTTGCATTTTAAGAATCACTTAAACAGAGCTCTCTGATAAATTAAAGCATAATGAAGAATTACATCTAAAAAAGCAACATATTATTGCTTGGTCCAATGAAATACAGAAACAGACGAAAATCAGATCTTTGAGAGGATCATGTTGGCACAACTAAGACTCTGGGATTTCAGAGGAGCACATTTAGAGCCAGTTTAAAGCAAAAAAAACTGAAGAATGGAAACTGGCAAAGTTCTCAGGTTAAAACTGCATAGCAAAAACACAATGGTCCCTTTTACATCGTTTGATAGTTCTAAAAACCTTCGGGGAAAATATTCGCCTAACAGATGAAACAACATGGGGCGTCTAGGGATAATCCTGCACAGCATTTCAGCAAAAGGACACAATAAGAACCGTCACACATTTCTCAGTCACATCTGGCCATCAGTTCAGGACCTGATATTTAAACATACTTGCTTATGATGTTGCTTAATGATCCAAAACAAAACAGGAAGTCAGTTTCTGAAAATCGCTCTACGTTGTTCAAATTCTGGATGTATATATAGTGTAGGTTCTGAGGCGTGGCAGTAGGCAGACTGTTTATGGTTAAAAAAAACCTCCAATCTGTTTGAATTTAAGCAAATCAGCAAAATAAAAATGGGCAAAAAACACAAGCACTTGACAGCAGTTCTTGCTGCAAAGCTGGCTTCAAGCAGTTTTAGTTATACCGTAGTTACTTTTTGACACAGAGCCAATTTGTTTTGAATAGCTTTTCTCTCAGTAAAAGGATTATGAATTTTTTTTATTCGTATTCATATGTTCACTCAGATTATGACTCTGACAAAGAGATTAGTTTGACATAAGAAAAATCTAAATATAAAAGAAGTAAAGTAAGTACATTTTCATAGCTTCAGACCGAATATAGAGTTATAGGCAAGATAGATGAAAAGAAGAAAATAAATAAGAACAAACAAAAGCATGCTAAGGAAGGTTTGAAATATCAAAAGAACACAAGGGTTGCAAAAAAACATAAAATATATGATATGGTGATATAAATATATATATATTTATGTGTGTGTGCGCTTATCAATAGACAGTGTAATAATCATTTAAAGTTTCCTCTTGAGTGTTCTTAATTTTTACCTGAAAACAAAAACATGGTCTGACAGGGAGCCTACAGCCAGATCAGGGTAATCATTGTTATCCATGTCCAGGTTACCGCTTAGTGAATATCCAAAAAGACTTACTGTCTTTAAACCTGGTGAAAGTACCTGGAGAAAAGAACTAAGCTCAATGTTGGGATATTTTAGATTAAGATAACGATCTAATTAAACATACCTGTGCTGGTTTTTTGTTGATACCACTAGGTGATCCATAGTACAGATACACTCGACCAGAGTTATCATATGGTGCCCCAACCGCAATATCTGTCAGAAAATATGAAAGATTAACTTCATTTTTACCTCAGTGGTGAAGAAAGATGAAGCTCTGAGGTACACAATGTCTATTGTTAATGGGCAAACTTTACTACATATCAGTATTCTTATATTCAGGATCAAAAGATAAAACATCTTGACCTCCATAACCATCCCGGTTAATGTCGCCGATATTTTCCACTGCAAGTCCAAACATTGAGTCTGCGTTGCCATGAAGTTGGATGGGAACAATTTTCTCCCAGTTTTTTCCTTCAGTATTAATAAAGATGAAAACTGCTCCTCCAATTTTACCGTCTTTCACAAAGAACTCTGGTGCTCCAACAGCAAGATCATCCCAGCTGCTCAAACAAACATAAACAACAGGTGTTATACTTCAATTACTGTACGTCTCATGTTTTTATCTCACATTTTACATAGTTCCCCAGACCCCAACTAAATACTATTGTAAGATCAGTATAAGCAAAGAAACTGAGGCTCCAACAGCACTAAAACCAGAATGTAGTCGATCAATTTTACAGAAGGTGTGAATTGGATGGCTATAGTAAGATTTCAGAAAAAAAAAAGATCTAAATACAATAAAAACTAATCCATACATTTTTAAAACCAAACAAAAACATTACATTTTATGTTAAAACAAACAGTCAAACTAAAAAATGATAAAAAAAATAATAATAGAGAAAAATCAACAGATCTCAGTCTTGAAACCACTCACATGTGGGATGGGGAATCTCCTAGATTAGTTTAAAGTAAATGTCCTGTACTTATATAGTGTTTTTTTTAAGTAAGGTTACTTCATCAAAGTGCTTTACTCTACATTCAGTCATTCACCCATTCACACACACTGATGGTGGCAGGCTGCACTGTAGCTGCTCTGGGGCTCACTGACAGGAGTGAGGCTGCCACACAGGCGCCACTGGGCCCTCTGACCTCCATCAGCAGGCAATGCGGCTGAAGTTACCTTCAGTTGTGGGGCAAACTCTTTCACCCGACACCACTGTCACCTCAGATTTAAAGTCTCAAATTTACCCGTCATTATTAAGATCCAGCACTGCCAAATCATAACCAAAGGAGGAGGCCAAACCAGGCCCTGACAGAACCAGCTCCACAGACAGATTTCTCTTGGCCAAAGGGTCTGTCTTCATGAACGCCACCTGGCCGCTGTAACCCCCTCTGGGAGCTCCTGATACGATTGTCAGCTCCCCCTGTTTGAGGAGGGCCATTCCAGAGTCTACAGAAAACCCTGGGAGCAGAAAGGAAGGCCGTTTGGCTGAAATTTTACACCAAATTTTAACCTGAAAGTAAATACGAGTCTTCATGAATTCATCAGAAAAGTCAGAAAAAATTGACGATGTATATAACTGACCAAGGTAGCTGGTTCTCTGGAGAGGAATCAGTTTATGGTTAAACTGGTCAATATCACCAGTTTCACATGGCCTTTCACTGTCAAAGTCCAAGTCATCCAAATGCTCCATTCGTACAATACCTTCGAAACATTTCAAACAATTATTAAATCTTATCACACATTTCTTTGAAACTATTAACAAATTGTAATGGGTACAAAGAAAAAGAAAATAGAAATACTTCTGATTAAAGTCAATGCTGCATCTATATTCTATATTCTAATCTTGCATTAGTGAAATTAAATATAAATAGGTCTATTACTATAAACTATATGTGGAAAAATATAAATGATGTAAAAAGCATAATTCTATTCATTCAAAATATAAATATATGTTTCAAAGCTGAAGTCCACTTCAGGTGGCATACATGTAGCACTTCAGCCTACTACAGTATTTTTCATATACCTTTCCACTGGTAAGCCCCTGGCGCTCCAATTAGCAATGAAGTGTTATCCTTTGCAAAAGCTGCTCCATGACCCTGTTGGCAGTAAGCAAACCAGTCCTGGTTCTTTTGCCGTCTGCTCAGGTGTTCAAGATCACAAACTACCCTCCTCCAACTCCTCTCTTCTGCCCCAACTTGCAGGTCATCTCCTAAAAGGTAGCACTGACCAGTCAGCACATTGGGGGAGTATTGGCTTGAACTCCCCTCCTGATATCGGTGAGCACAAACCTGGAAAGAGATGATACCAGTTTAAAACCTGCTTATTGCTTTTTACGTTTATTTAATCACCAAAATGGCAGCAGTTCACCTAAGTTTCCTTGAAAAGTATAGATACTTTTAGATTATACACTTAATGTAGTTTAACAAAACGTAAAAAACTTGACAAAATGTTTAGATAAAGGTAAAACAACATAAACTAAAAGACTTGACACAGCATAAACTGAGTGTGCTTGATGCATCGAGGGGAAAGTAGGATCAAGAGTGACACCAAAACATACACAAAAAAAACTAAACCTGATCCTAAATTAACCTGATGCTATCACAAACATTTAAGATTTTCTTACCAATACATTTCTTCCATGACCTTGGCTTGTGACTTTAATTCCCATCCACTGGTTGTTTACGTATTTACTATCAAGAAAGTCTACAAAAATACATTGATGTAGTTAAATCAATTGCAATCAAAATGGATAAAAAAAAAAACACTTTTCACTTAAATTTAGGTTCTCATGATGTAATGAAAAATGGCTGCTTTCAGATTTTTTTACAGTAAATCTTTTGAATTCTATATTCTAAATATTGCATCTCAATATTATAATACCACAAAAAAGCAAAAATATTGAAATAAATTTCAAATTTGGAATATTGGATTAGTAGTTTGATCCATTTGCTGAAAGCAAAAGTCCAGTCAGTAAGGAATAACCAATGGGTCTTTATTTATACCCAAAACTAATATGTTTGCAGTGATTTAATTAATTTAGCGTTAATCAGTAAAAAAATAAAAACAATATTTTTCGGTGCGATCACCTCCGGGAACGGCCATTTTTGCCCACATATAGTAACACCTCACTACTGACATCTTCCGGCAGTGATGTCACGGTGTACTAAGCCTAGCCCCATTCCAAGTGCTTACTTTTTTTGCCTCAACGGGAGCTACTAGACACATCTGCAATCAACAACAATTATTTAAGATTTCGAGAGGGCTATAGTTAAACTGACAATGCCCACGTGCATGGCAGTTAAAAGTTGTAATACATCAAGTAAAAGTGAAAAAAAAAAACAGTTATTTCAACTTTCCAATTCATGATCCACCACAGGTTCGTCGTCGGATTACCAACTTGAAGAGGGAGGATTTGCCATCAAACTTCTGGCCAGAGAAAAAACACATCATTAATCGTACTCTTTGCTTCGCATAGTGCACTGGTCATCACCATCATGGATAATAGCCCATTGTGACAAACACCAGATGGAACTTACTCAACAGCCGATACCACACTGTGATGTTGCAAACCAATAGGTGGCAGTAGTGTTCTTTGACAAACATGGATGTATCCATAAAGTTAATTCCAATGAAATTACTCTTAATTAAAAACATTGATCATTTATTGAAAAGTATGTCATGATTTCGTATTTAAAGTACATTCAGAAGTTTGTATTCTGAATGTGACCGGTCTTTTCCCTTAAAGGTTGCATCTCATCTTAAATGCTCACTCACCTCATCCCTGAGGAACAGCAGCATCGTGTCATGTGGGATTGTAGAGAAATTCTTAGATAAATTTGCTGCAAAGTCAGTGACTTCATGGGCTTCAATAGATAAGTTTTTTTTACCACCTGGCATTGTAAACTGTATTTTAATGCATCCCATAACAATAACTTTAAATATATGTCCACAGCGTAGACATATATTTAAAGTATATTTAAAGCCTTATATTAGATTAACAGAACATGACTATCATTTTATTTGCATTTCCTATAAATTCATTATGATTTTATGTATGTATCTTAGTATGAATCTGAACTTTTTGTCCTTGACATTGTCTCGAGATAATAATTCTTGTATTATTCTAGGATTAGGTAAACATTAATAGATTTGTCCATCCTAGCAGCCTAAAATAAACCTAAGATAGGAAAATGTTTGACGCATGATGTCAGAGGACATGAGAAATAGGTTGTGTCTCTTTAAAATGTTTAAGTAAATATGTAGTTACAACTGTATGAGAAATAAAGCATTTTATTATAAAACTGACCTATTAAGTAAGACACACCTTATTCCTCTTAACAATTGACTCTAGTTTGGACTTAGACTTTTACATCCTTCTACAATATGGGATTTTTTTTGTTACTTTGGGTTCATTAAAAGAGCTGTTCTATTTTTTGTAGAGAAATCCTAAATCAAAGTGTGAATAAAAAAAAAAGTGAAACTCAAAAAAGAACTGTATTCATATAAAATTTAAAACAAATTCAAGCAGAGATGACTCGAAGAAATCATTAAAAAAGAAAGAAAACAAACTAACCTTCACTGTTAAACTCGATTGGCTGACAGCGTTCAGATGTTGAATCCAGATCACAACTGTAAACAACTCCTGTAACATTTACTTGATTCTGATGTTTTGCCCGTGGAGCTCCAACAAGTAATCTAAAAAAAAAAGCAAAGCAATAAGGTACATATCTGAAACAACAACATAAATACGCGTTACTCACAGATTTCTTCTGGAAGGGCTTTGCTGCTGATGGAAAGCAACAGAAAATCCAAACAAAGTGCCTGGATCTCCTTGTTTTAGCAATATATTCTGGGTGTCCAGGTTAAAAGCTGCAACATTAAAGATCTTCCAAAATATCCACAGGGACACAATATACCAACTTGTTGCCATGATCCTGTGGTCTGAATTCACTTATTTCTCACACTGAGCTGTCAGAGAGTGGCAGTGAATCATAAACCTTCATAAAAGGGATAGGCCAGCTGTTAATTGGCTTACACAGCAAATAGTAAAAGAAGGTGTGGTGGCTTGAGAAGTATCTTTACTGTAACAAGGTTGTCTGGCCTCTGAGCTTATAGCCTTCGTTAATATTAACCCATCTGTGCAATTTAAACTTGAGATGCACTCAGAGGTCAGATGCTTGTTTGATTGTGCTCCACAGATTAACAAGGCCTTGTACAACTAAAATCTAATAACAACTCACTATTGTTAAAAAACAGTGAAAGTTTTTATCAACTTGTTAAAACTGTATGCACACAACATCATGAATGTATCATGTCCAAAAATCAGAAAAATGGATCCTCTGGTACCTCCTAGTGTTTGTATAAAGATAAATACTGTAAGAATGTGCAGCTAATGCAATGATTCATCAATAAAGTCTCATTGATGTCAGACATTATTTAAAGTAATAGGATATGCTGTAGAACTTTAATACATGTATTATCCACCCCAGTAGGGGTGGTAAATATGTTATTCAGTCAGATAATATTCGGACTGTCATATTGTTTATGAACACACGCCCTACTGGCTGTGTGTTAGAACAGCAAATGATTAAACAGATAATTCTTAACAAATATGGAATAAATTCACAACTTTCAAAATATAGCAGTTTATTCACAAAAATCATTCAGCTCCAAGTGAAGCATATTTCAGTTAAAAACTCTTGACCAAAAAGTAGCGAAACTTAACTAAACTAAACTACTATGTACCAAGAAGAAGAAAGAATGTGTTTGGAAACCATAATCAATGTTGTAATGATATCACATTTTAGCATAGATTTTATGTTTGAGAAGCAAAGTTTATCTCAAGAATTTTTGGAAAGTAATCAAATTAGCCTTTAACTAATTTACATCAATTGGAATGTTTAAAAAAAGCAATTCACAAAGCAAATCCTAGAGGTGAATAAAATCTTATTTGGCCAAATAATATTTTATTAAATGATTTGGTTAATCAGGAAACAAAAACCTTTAGGTAACTGATTCTTAGTCTTTGATCAAGCTAGAGGTGAGCAGACATTAGGATGTCCATAAATTTACTTTTGGTCATAATTTGTAATGAGCATATGAGAAAACCAATGTATGTTAGCGTTAGATCAGTGTTTAAACCCCTAGTGAAATAAAGCTTGTTTTAGCTTTGTTTTTTAACTCGAACACGTTGCTGCAGCATAGTGTACCATGCGATCCATCTTTTTAGCTTTGTCTTTACTCAACAGTAAACTTATAAATTATTAAAAACCGTCAAAAGACATATTGTTCAACTGCCAAATCTGTCCCTAATGTTGCCAGATCTGCAAACTTCCCTTAAGCCCTTCCCTCCTTTCCTGCAGCACTTAGCACCTTAGCAACAGCCTCACAGCAGAGTGAAGGGGAAGGGCTGGTAGCCTCCAAAGGTCTTCATTTGGAGGCTCCAGTCAGCATCTAAAGCTTCTGAAACTCAGAGATAGATATTGCAAACGGCCTGTTTAGCAGCAGTTCAGTTCTAAAAATGTCAGCCATCACAACTTAACCTTTGTCAGTCTGGAGACCTTGGGCCTATCTTTCCATGAAGACTTTCTTTCCGAATGTGAACCCCTGGGAGCTTTACGGAAATAGAAAGAGAGCCGGTGTGGTGTGGTGCTTTTGTCAAGGCACACTTCTGAGGAGTGTCTTTTGGAGTGAGTTTTTGCTTTAATAGGAGAGCAGCACTGTGGGGCAAAACTGCCCCCTCTAGTCCAGTGAACATGTTAAAATAAAACATGGACATTCGTCCTCAACGTCCACAACTATAATCATGGTTTAAGGCCCAACAGATATTTCATCACAACTGGGTTTTAACTTCAATGCCAAGGCAAGCAGGAAACCATTTCTCTTTTCCAGCTCAACAAATAAATTTTTCCTGAGGATTATTTTGGTCATCCTTTTAGGATACCACCTGCATGACTATCACACAGAGGCTTTTGCACCTCCTACCTCAGTTTTGACCTTATTATAGAGAAGAATTACTGAAACAATTTTAACAAAATCCATTGTGTCAGCAGTAAATCAGGCTAAAGGACCTAAACATGCCTCCGTTAGCCTCAAATACCACAACTGAGGAATATGTCACCATGACTAAAGTGGGTGACCTAGGGGGACAACAGATTTTTTTCAAGACTTTACTTGCAGAACAGGAGACAGCTTTTAAAAGTTGAGTCCAGATCACCATGAATGTATCTAATAAATGGGTTGATGGACTCTCACTGCATGTCTATGATCTCAAGATTAGCTTGGAAATGACTAAAATGGCTTTGACGCTCTAAGAAAATCAGACTTAAACTACTTAAACAGCTGAAGCAAGATTAGAACTGTTAGGGAGGAAATCAGTAAAAGTCTGATCTCTGTTTCTGAAGAAGCCAGATATCAAGAGAGACAAGAAGGAAAGCATCTTTTTGTGAAAAGCATCTTCAGTGACAAGCTGAAGTTAAATCATTAAAATTGAACTGAAAAGGGCACAAATAACCTGAGACCCAGAGACATCTTTGGAGAAACCTCGGCCCATTGTCATCAGATTTTTACTGAAATGTTTTGTAACTAGGTAAAACCAACAATTCGAAGACTCCTGGATTATCATCCATGAATGAAATCATCAAATAGTAACCACTGTTTACAAGACTCCCCAATATGAACCATGATAATGGGGCAGCATAATGTCAACAGTAAGGTTTTGTGAATATCTAGGAACTCTAATGCTCCATAATGCTTAATAGAAAGGGAGATTTAAGAGTTCTCATAGATGC